ACTTATTAATTATTCTTTCTAAATTTGTTTACATATAGTTCTGGTAGGCATTTCTCCCATGACTTATCCAGGGCATTGCTGTTAAACTGGACAGGGCCAAAGAAAGAGCCTTGGGGTGTGCCATTTAAGCAATGTGGGATTACCCGATAAGCAAGGTAAACATGAGCTGGCTTGTACTTACTTGTGCTTACCTTGCTCACTGGGTAATCTGCTCCTGCATTTAAAGCCTCTGTTTCCATTGTCAGCAATTCCTTATAATTTTTTTTTTTTCATTGTGATTTGGGTGCAAATTTATACAGCAGATTCATTTTACTCTCAACAGTTCACGTACATTTGGTTTCACAATTACAATCTCCAACCATAAAAAGCTCTTCTCCCATTTCTTCCCTGTGCCGACTACCCCTTCCCTGTGTCCTTCTTGTCTGCGCATTCCTGTCTGTCCAGCTCTCCCTGTATGCAAATGCTGCCCTTCCAATGTCTTATAGTTGATTGGTCTCAGAGGTGCATCTCCCTGGGGTAGGTGTTCTGCTTGGGGTAGGTCTTCCTACTGTTTGAGCGATTCCTTACATTTTTGTGATTTGACTATAGGCAGTCCCCAGGTTCCCAGTGTCAGATTTAATCGACAACTCACACTTGCCCTCACTTGGAAACTATTGAACCAGCCCCTACTTGGCACCAAATCTTTCATCACAGTCACCTTCACATGCTACATGTGCAGCTTTGAAAGCATTGTGAAGGCTTTAACCCTTTTCTTGCATTAAATTAGGCCACACCCACTGCCCTTGAGTCAATTCCTACTCATAGGCCTATAGGACAGAGTAGAACTGCGACCATAGGGTTTCCAAGTTTGTAAATTTTCATAGAAGCAGACTGCCTCATTAGTCTCCCGCGGAGTGGCTGGTGGGTTCAAACTACTGACCTTTTGGTTAGCAGCCCAGTGCCTTAACCACAGTTGCCACCAGAGCTCCTTTTCGTAAGATTAAATAAGAACCATGTGCACTTGTTCTGACTTATTCAACTCAAAGACATACTTAGGATCTTGTTTGTAACCTGTGGACTGCCTGTGCTAAAAAGTGGGGCTTGTTGGCCCAGCAGGTTCATAGCAAGTTTAAAACCAAGTTAAGAATTGTTAGGGTCAAAAAGACAAATAATCCAATTAAAAAATGGGCAGAAGACATGAATAGACACCTCACCAAGGAGGATATTCAAGCGGCCAACAAACATATGAAGAAATGCTCACGATCATTA